CGTTTACTTTTTTAAACAAATCGGATTTATATAAAAATATGAATATTTTACGGTAAACTAAAGTAAAATGCACGTTAGTTTGAAATCTTATGTGTTTCCATTCATAATGCCTCTTATTGAAGAACTATTGAGAAGAAATTAAATGTTTTGAATTTCTAATATGTTCTAATTGATTTTGCGTAAAATCAAAGCAAGAGGAGAGCTACGAGGTCACATGGTCAAACCAGTAACGTTACATAAATTGGCCTTCTTATTCTATCTAGTTTGCAGTGAATCATAACAGAATTCATTCCCTTCTATTTCTAGTAAACAAATATTGTAAACACGAATTTATAATTGTATTGGTCTGATTCTATAATTTCATAACTAATAATCGATAGATTGATAGATTAATTGTCTTAATTAAACACTTTAATTATATACACTACTACAACCGTATCAATATATCATTTATTAGACCACATGACATGAGAGGGGGGAAGGAGAATTTAGGGAGAATAGGGGGGGGGGGGGGGTTTTGCCACTTTTGATTGTTATAACTTATATGTTAAAGATTTGATCTCTTGATATTTTTGCGGCTTGGACGCTCTGTATATAAGTGTTTCTATATATATACGGAGGGACAGGAAGGAGGGCAAACTAAAAAGATCTTGAGAGGATAGGTAACCAGCTATAGAGTCAAGGAATGTTAAGTTGGGAGGGGGGGGGGCCTTCGAATGTCCTGTGGTTTGTATGAATGGATGTGAGATAATTATAGTTCTAGTTTGGCTGTAGTAGATCTAGTAGATGATATACAGGGGATAATTCTAGCTAATGACCCTTGTTATACACTACCAAGCTAGTGCTGGAGAAATACAGGAAGGCCCAGAAAATATTGGAATGTGAAGACGACTTTTAGGCATATGATATTATTTTGAATAGTCCGATGAACATGAACTACAGTAAAATTGTGTAGTGAACACAGACTAATTTTACTAAATATTTCGATTTCTACGCTACGTAAACCTATTTGCTTTAAAACAACTTCAAATACACAAATAGTGGGAAGAATTTCTTTAAAGGCTGTCAATTTCAATTCCTTTCTGTAGCATATATCATCACATTCAACAATAAATATGTCCACAGTTTTCAAATTTTTGATGAACTTGCAGAAAAAAAAAAATTGAAGAGTCGAACGCTTACATAGACATAATGGTGGAAATATACACCGTTAGGTTCCACTTAAAATTTATGTCTTTTAGGCTCAGTGTGTTGGCTTTTTATCCCCTTAGAAACTAAATGTAATCAATAAAATATGAAGTGTGTAATGTAATCAATGAAATATGAAGAGTATAATGTGAACAATGTAACATGAAGTCTATAATGTAATCATTTTATCATGAACTATATTTTGTAATCAAAGTAACATTAAGTATATTATGTAATCTAATCAATGTAATTAACATGAAGTGTATAATTTGATCAATGTAACATAAAGTGTATAATGTGATCAATGTAACATGAAGTGTATTTAATGTAATCAAAAACATCATGTTTATAATGTAATCAATGTGACATGAAGTGTATAATGTGATCAATGCAACATGAAGTATGATACTAATCAATATAACATGAAGCATGTAATGTAAATAATGTAACATGAAGTGTGTAATGTAATCACTGTAAAATGCAGTCTATAATGTGAACTATGTAACATGAAGTATGTAATCTAATCAATATAACATAAAGTTTATAATGTAATCAATGTAACACGAAGTGTATATAATGTAATCAACGTAACATGAAGTCTATAATGTGAACTATGTAACATGAAGTATGTAATCTAATCAATATAACATAAAGTTTATAATGTAATCAATGTAACATGAAGTGTATATAATGTAATCAACGTAACATGAAGTCTATAATGTGAACTATGTAACATGAAGTATGCAGTCTAATTAATATAACATAAAGTTTATAATGTAATCAATGTAACATGAAGTGTATATAATGTAATCAACGTAACATGAAGTCTATAATGTGAACTATGTAACATGAAGTATGCAGTCTAATTAATATAACATAAAGTTTATAATGTAATCAATGTAACATGAAGTGTATATATATAACGTAATCAATGTAACATGAAGTGTATACAATGTAATCAATGTAACATGAAGTATAAAATGTAATAAATTAACATGAATTATATAATGAAATGAAGTATATACTGCATGTATATTTAGTTAAATACAACATAAATAAAAGATTTTAGATTGATTAAAAAGATTAATAGAAGAATAGAATTAGATTAAAATGAAAAAATGAAAAGAAAGGAATTAATAGAAATGTCTAAACGTTGATCTAGTGGTTTAGCTCCTGTAGCGATGTAATTATGGGGTAATTTTCTCATTGTCTAAAATATGCTGCAATTATATATTTAGTTATATATATATAATATATATATATATATATATATATATTATATATATATTAGATGGATTACTTGCTAAGGAAGCAACTTTACAAACGACTTTTCGGAAATTTTAAATATCTTTTTTGATTTATTTCTGAAACTTTTATTAATATAGTATCGTTACATTTTTCCTTTGTGATTCAGAGCTTTAAGTATAGATAATTATAAAAAAAATTTGCTTTTCAGTTTGTGATGTGCATAAAATATGGTTCAGTGTAAAAACAGAAAATGTTTTAGAAACATTATTTGTATAAACACTATAATGCCATTACAAAAAAATATGCCAAATAAACGAACCAAAAACGATTCAAAAACGAGCGTGATATAACGATCATTTATGGAAATGAAAAAGCAAACTTTAAGGGGAGTTTTCGCGAAAAATGAAAGGGTCGCTAATAACCTTAGTTCTATCTGTTGTTTATAATGAGAAAATTGTTAAAAACGAAGTAAGTAAGATTAGAGTAGCGATCAAAAGCAATTAATTTTCGCCGGAAGCCTATACCCCTCATTTTTCGCGAAAACTTACTTAAACAGAATAAAGTTTTATTAAAAGCTTTACGAACCAAAGCAGTATCTTTAGTTCCTTGAAAATATGATTATAATTCTTGCATATCATGAATTAGAAAGAAAAAATCTTTGAAATTGTGTAGATAAATAATCTGAGCGGAAAACTTTTGAATGGTGGATATCGAGATTAATGCTTGATCCTCTCTTTTTCTTAATATCGAACCTAACCTAATCTTGTGCTTGTATCCTGAAAAGTGTATAAAATTCAACCAATCAGAGTCGCGTATAAGAAGCCAAAAATTTGAAATTTTGCGCGCCATTTAAGATAAACACTCAGAAACTGGAGGAGCTCTTTAATTTAAAAAAACCGGTTTTTGATTTTTTCTCTATTATATCGAAGAAAGAGTGGTTTAAGAAGAAAATCAAAAGTGTGTCCATTGGATACTCAGATTAAGTAATCGGGATAAAGGATATCTCATTCTAAAGTTTTCAGCTCAGATATTATTAATATTATTGTCCCACATCATATTAGATCGTTTATAGCTCAATATTAAGATTTTCGGAACTAATCAGAATATTTAAAAAGAAGGAAACAATAAAAAAATCTATAAGGCTAATATAAAAATTTGTAATTTAGTATAATATGGCATTTGATCTCTTGATATTTTTGCGGCTTGGACGCTCTGTATATAAGTGTTTCTATATATATACTTTGCTTGTCTGTTGACATGTTTGTATCCAAAGAACGTCAAAACGGTTGAACCGATCGAGCCTAATTTTTTGTGGGACCTCGCGTCACCCCAGGGAAGGATGATCAAATTTTCAAAATTTGCTTCTAACAAAAATCGATTTTTGAAACTTTTGAAAATCAATGAATTCTTTTTTATAAAATCTGCGAGATTTTTGTTTGTTTTTGTTTTACAATGTGAACAAATGTTCACAATTGAAAAAAAGATGGGCGCGAAGCGCCCTGCAAGCCTAGTATATTAAATAAGCCGTACTCCAATTAAACCTAGATATCGGATAGATTAAAAATGTTTCAAATTAAAATCAAATTATGGTTAAGAATACACCTGTCAGCACTCATCAATCTATTAACTGATGAAAAAAACGTAATTTTCTCTTTTTTGTTATCTTCAAGTGCTTTATCTTAGGTCTTTTTATTCATATCATATTTGTTTGATTTTTTTATCTATAAAGAAAATCTTAATAAAATATTTATCCAGAATTTTTTTAAACTTAAAGTTTTAATATTTCAAATTAACTTAGACTTAGTTTAAAAACCGATTAAACTTTAGTAGTAAGTTAATTAAGTGCAATATTCATTTAACGTCTAACTAAAGTAATTTGCATGTAAATCTGAAAATCTTATGTTTATAATCATTATTCCTCTTTTTGAAGAGCTGAGAAGAACAAAAATGTTTTGAATTTCTAATATATAACCAGAGCTGAAAACTTTAGAATGAGATATCCTTAATTTCGATAACTTAATCTGAGTATCCAATGGTCACACTTTTTCTTCTTAACCCGTTCTTTCTTGGATATAGTAAGGAAAAATCAAAAACCGATTTTTTAAAATTAGAGAGTCCCTCCCCTTTCTGTATAATCTTAAATGGCGCGCAAAATCTTAAATTTATCGGCTTCATATACGCGACTCTGATTGGTTGAATTTTATACACTTTTCAGAATACAAGTGCAAGATTAGATTAGTCTTGATATTAAGGAAAAGAGAGGATCAAGCTTTAATCTCGATATCCACCATTCTAAAGTTTTCAGCTCAAATAAATTTGCTATTCTCGTACTTGTGCGTTAAACCAAAACAAGAGAAGCTACAGGGTCACAAAGTCGTAGCAGTAATATTGCATAAATTTTACCTTCTCCCGATATTTGTTTATGTTTATCAGATTATTTGTTGTACATGCATTCCCCCACCCTGGCCTCGTCCGTTCCGTGTGACGGTGAACCGGCGAACACTGGCCGGTAGTTCGGTGACGGTTTTACAGTTACCGGCGAGCGAAATTCAGTCGCGTAACACCAGTGGACACAGCACATTATCGGTTAGATACATAGATAGATAGATAGTGATATTTTTTATTTACTGCCTTTTCTTACAAAATCAATCTGGTAAGCTTTTTTAATTCTCTGGGTTTTTTTTAATGTTTCCATTATAAATTATGGTTTGTCTATACAAATATACAGGTTGTACGATTTGGTGATAAATTTAGCTTAAACTCTTACCCCCTTTACTATTATAAAAAATATATTTGTTAAAACTGTTGGGCAGCATTAAATTTTGTTGTTGCATATTTGGTTGCATCTGTAAATTTATTCTTTTTTATCAATTCATTTAAATTATCATTTATAAGTAATATTTATAAGACCAAGGATCAAATTCAGCCTTTTTAATCTTATGAGCTTTCTGTCGCCATTTTAAGTCTCATCCCTTGTGGATAACCCTGTATACGTACATATATTATAACTCCACATAAATGTTATTTTTGATTAAGAAGACATGAAACATCATTAATAGTGAGATTCTAAAATATATTGAATTTGAAGCTGATTCTTTATAAATATATATTTAGATATATTCCACAGAGGAATACATACACAGAAAAATTAAGAATTTCCAGCCGTTTGAATATTTTTAGCCCCTTTAAGCAAATAGATTCTAGTACAATAGATGGCAACGTAGAATTTGTACTCTCTCAGTACAGCTGTATTCTGACATCACAAGTGTCAACTCAGTTTTTGTGTTTAGCAAAATTATTATTAATAGTGATACTTTTAGAATAAAGTGCTTATCTTACAGTAAAATAAGTTCAATTTAATATGTTCTTTATTTTCTCTTTTTACACTTTTTTATTTAATCCTGGAAAACACGTCAACTATAGAATTGTGAGAAAATTTCGTTTTCCTTGTTATATTTGACACTTTGGTAATTACTTGGTTTACTTGATTAATTGGTCAATTTCTCTGTTGCATCCTATTGTAATTGAAAATCTATTTGCCTTTGAGTCTTAAAAAGGAGTTCAAAGAGTACATTTTGTTGTAAATGTTTACATAATATACGCAGTACATCACAATAATTTACATTATGTTAATTGAATGTAAATTACAAAAGAATTGTAATCGTCTTCCATATTTACCTGTTTCCTATTTCTCTATCTGTTTTTCTATCTGGTTATTTATCTGTCTATCTATCTGTGTTTCTATCTGGTTATTTATCTGTCTATCTATCTGTGTTTCTATCTGGTTATTTATCTGTCTATCTATCTGTGTTTCTATCTGGTTATTTATCTGTCTATCTATCTGTGTTTCTATCTGNCCCCCTCCCCACCTTGGGCCCTATTCAACTAGTTCACGCAATAAACTCTTTAATAAGTGTGTCTAATTTTTAATAGAATACATTCGCTGTAGAAATTATTTAGTTGAAACCATTTTATCAATTTCTATAAAATATTTCCTTTCAAAATAAAAATGGGGTCGATTCAGATTCTATGGTTGTTACCCTCGATCACCAGGGAAGATACATTATGACGATCTTTAAAGTTTTCTAATCCCGTTATCTTTGCAACCCAATGGCGAAAACCTTTGATTTTTTTAAAAACAGATTATTTTATATAAAGAATATATAGCTTGAAATATCTAAGGTCTACGACATTGGGTTGCAAAAATATAGAGATTAGAAAATTATAGTTTGCGGCAAAGACTAAATTCCTTTGAGATAACCAGAAATAGGACTTTTATACTCAAGTTATGACTTTAAATAGTTCTATGAGCATAGAACAAAGCAAGTGAGCAGTGGACACAGAACCATTTAAGTTAATTAGTTATTTAATAAGTGTTTAGTAAAACTATTTGCTTTGTAACTACATCAAATACACTTAAGTGTGGCTGTAAAGTCGTCTTCCTATTCCACAGTTTTTGGTAATCACTGTAGTCGATTCTTAAGTCTCATTATTTGTGGGAAACCCTGTACTCGAAATACACCTTTTTATAATCAATATATTGTAAGGCTTTACAGCAATATCTGTGGTTGAAAGTATTTAAAATATTTTAATATTTTAAATTAAGCCAATCTTTTATTTCCGTAAAAATATTTTTTTTTAAATTGCGGGTTATTCTTAGCGCTAAAGGAGAATTAAATTTTTTTGTGAAAACGAGATATTTTTATCGTTATGACTTAAACACTGCTTAATTTACTTAATTTATGTAAATTTTAAGTTAATGATTTAATTACAGTAAATGAGCTGGGTTAAAATATAATATTTTTGAGGGTTGAGATGAAGGGGGGGGGTCAGGGAGGATGGAAATAGGGGTGGGGTTTGTCTGAAAATTACCAGAATTTCATATATAACTGATGTTAAGTTATTTTTGTATTACAAATGCTATTTTCCAAAGTTTGTTAATAAAAATTTAATTTTGTCACAATGATACTTTTTAATGTTAAAAATAAACATTCATTTTAATTTTGTGAATTTTATTAAAAAAAGTTATTCTAATTGAGGTTTTCTTCACTATTTTGTTAAAAATGGAAGTTAGAGAGAAACTAAAATTTTGACAGCTTATATAGTTAAATAATTTCCTCAGTCAGATGTAGACTCTAAATCCCCTGGAAAAATTCCTGACTGCGCCCCTGGAAGGTATAGGACGGAACGAAACTAAGAAGTGTGCATGTTGTTTGCAGGAAATAAAAAATCAGAGGAAGTAAAATTTTCAAAAATTTGCTTCCGACAGTGTATAAAAATATCCAGATATTACAGGAATTGACAGAACAAATTTGTTCTCTTTTTTATGACTTTCAGATTGCATTTCAAAGAAAAATTGCTCATCAATCGTAAGACAATTTTTATTTCTTTTAAAGATGGTTAAAATTGACAATACAAACAAAACTGGGTTTGAGAAAATCGAGATTTAAAAATGTTAAAATTCCACACCCTTGAAGGTGGGGGGGGGGGGGGTGTAAAAGCTAATAAAGGAGGTAAATTACTCATGGTTTGATATTTACTGTGTCTTCTGATTTCTCTTGAAGTATGTGTGCTAGAAAATAAAATTATTGAAGCGAAGAAAATATTTGAAATTATGCAGTTGAGTGGAGACAATAAATCAATATCAATCAAAATATAAACTTTATCATAATTTTTTCTGTTCAAATTAATTAGAATAAAGTTATTATTAATTGATGAATGTATAATGGATACGATATATGAGATCAGAGATATATGAGATATGAGATATCAGAAGTGGAATCTGATATTTCTGACATACATTCCAAATGTCGTATGAGATATAAGATTTTCCTTTAAATGTGAGATATAAGATATGAGAAGGAAATACATGAGTTATTATATGAAATATGAGATACGAGATATGTATAATAGGATGTGAGATATTAGATATGAATTATGAGATACGAGGTGTGTTTGATGAAGAGTGAGAATTATATTGAACCTACTTTATTTATAGGAGAATTTCCGTGTTTAAAAGCTTGTAGGAAAGGAATTGTTGTTACCATTCGATTGCACCAATCAGCAAATCAGCTGTTTCAAAAACACCGGCTTTTACTGGCAATTTAGCAGAAGCAAAACAGGGTACCTCGGCCATCAAGTGTCAGAGCCAGCCCAAAAATACATTTCAAACAAGCTATTGGTCAAGGAAATTCTCCAAAAAATATAATAATTACACTATATTCGCATTCTTGAGATATTAAATATGAGATATATGATATATAAAATATGAAATATGAGATATGAGAGATAGAGAGTGAGATATGAGATGGAAATGTAAGATTTGAGATATATACAATGTCAGATATGAGGTTCGGATTATAAGATTTGAGATTTGAGATAATCTGAGATGTGAGATTTGACGACACAAATCTTAATCTTGGATTAGGCAAGAAAGAACTCAGAAGAAAAAGCTGGAAGATATTTAATTTTTGTATTATAAAGAACACAGCCATCTTGTACTACACAGTTCACAGCTATTTTGTACTACACAGTTCACAGCCATTTTGTACTACACAGTTCACAGCTATTTTATACTACACAGTTCACAGCCATCTTGTACTACACAGTTAACAGCTATTTTGTACTACACAGTTCACAGCTATTTTGTACTACACAGTTCACAGCTATTTTGTACTACACAGTTCACAGCTATTTTGTACTACACAGTTCACAGCTATTTTGTACTACACAGTTCACAGCTATTTTGTACTACACAGTTCACAGCTATTTTGTACTACACAGTTCACAGCTATTTTGTACTACACAGTTCACAGCTATTTTGTACTACACAGTTCACAGCTATTTTGTACTACACAGTTCACAGCTATTTTGTACTACACAGTTCACAGCTATTTTGTACTACACAGTTCACAGCTATTTTGTACTACACAGTTCACAGCTATTTTGTACTACACAGTTCACAGCTATTTTGTACTACACAGTTCACAGCTATTTTGTACTACACAGTTCACAGCTATTTTGTACTACACAGTTCACAGCTATTTTGTACTACACAGTTCACAGCTATTTTGTACTACACAGTTCACAGCTATTTTGTACTACACAGTTCACAGCTATTTTGTACTACACAGTTCACAGCTATTTTGTACTACACAGTTCACAGCTATTTTGTACTACACAGTTNGAAAGGCCTAAAAAATTTTTTATTCGCCCAGTGAAATTAATCAGAAAATTAAAAAACTTTCTTATTAAAGTCGTTTTTCGCATAATAATATCTGTTTCCCACCCGCAAAAAAATTTTCGATAAAAATTTTCTAGTTGTAACAAATTTTTAATCCCCCCAACTTGTGACCCTAATGGGGATGGGATAGCCGAACTAGCATTTGAAACTAAATTTTAAACTTAGAGTGGCTTTATCTGCCGCCCTGCGCTAAGAGCTTTACCATTCAGCCCTCCCCCCCTACCAAGGGCATTTTCTGTAATTTTTTATTTGATATCTTGATACTTTTACTTCTTGAAATAAAAATGACAGTTCACCAGTTTTAATGTTGACATATCCGATCCTTAAAGGGACTGTTAACCAGTTTTAGTGTTGACATTTTTGATCCTTAAAGGGACAGTTCACCAGTTTTAATGTTGACATATCCGATCCTTAAAGGGACTGTTAACCAGTTTTAATGTTGGCATATCCGATCCTTAAAGGGACAATTCACCAGTTTTAATGTTCAAATATCTGATCCTTAAAGGGACAGTTCACCAGTTTTAATGTTGACAAATCCGACCCTTAAAGGGACAGTTAACCAGTTTTAATGTTCAAATATCTGATCCTTAAAGGGACTGTATGCGTAATTTCAAGTCAGCCTTTATGCAAAGATGGCAATTTGGAAAAGTGTTTATTTCCGTGAATATCTCCATTGTTTCTTGTTAGCAAGAAACTCACAAGTCGATTTCGCAGAGAACTGCAAATGGAAATAACCAGTTTAAAGAAACAAACACATTGGTATCTAATTCATACATACTCGGACAAAGCTTTTACGGTTACCGTTTGAATCGGTCATTGCCATCTTTGCAATGAGGAAAGCTTGAAATTACGTTTACACAGTCCCTTTAAAATCCCTGATATGTCCATCATAATAATGATTATACAGTAGAAAAGAGGTGTGTAGAGAGATATCAAAGTTGTAAAAGTGGGCGGGTCTTTATCCAATATTTGAAGAATGGGCGGAGCTAACCAATAATTTCATGACGCCCCGAGCCTCACTGTAGGAAACGGTCAAATTTTTCTGAAAAATTGGTTTTTCTCCAAATTAACTTGTTAATATTGAAATAGTCTCTGTTCAAGGCTTTAGGTCATTAATAATTCTTTAATCTTACAGCTGACAAAACTTTTGGAAAAATGTTTATTATCGTCGTTTGTACATTACGTCATCATGCCAATTGCATTTGTTAAATTTTGAAAAATCGTGGCCACATGCTTTCTTCTCTTTTTGCTCCAACATCCAGAAACAACTTAAAATACTCACAATTAATGGCAGCCTAAAATCACGATTTCTTGGGACCTAAACTTGAAAAGCTTAAAGCAGTAGCTTTTTTTGTGATCACACTGTAGCTAGGAATTATGGGCGTTTACACGTTGTCAAGAATGAAGAATTAATTATTTTAAACACAATATCTCTGTTCAAATCAGTTCGAACCAATTTTCCATATACTCAGCAAATTCAACTAAAATTGCTTTATATCGGATATAAAACTATTTATTGTATTGTAAAAGTAAAATGTAGATTGGATCTTGAATTATATATATAGTAGTCAATTTGTTGAATAATAATTATCTTTATTTATATTATTTCCCCTTTCCACATATCCATTTCTCCTCTTGCCCCTATCACCCCCCCCTTCCACTTATTTCTCCCTTGTATTTGACAGCCAACTTATTTTAATATTTTTTCATTTATCATTTTCTTTAGCTCTGTCCCACTCTCAGCCAGCTTAAACACATTTATACAAACAGATTTCACGCCAGACTAAAGTAAATTCCACGTAAGATGGAAACCTTTTATTACTAAAGAGTTTTTGAGGAGAAAAAACATGTTTTGATTTTCTATATATGTTCCCAGTTAAATTTGACATATGCGTAAAATCAATCCTGGAGGAGCTACGAGGTAACAAAGCCATAAAAATGATGTCACACAAGTGAGATCTTCTCCCTCTGTCTAGTATACAGCGAGATAAATCATAAAGGTCAACAAAAATTTTAACGGAAAATAGTTTTTCTTAAAGTTCTAAAGTTATTAAAGTTTCTAAAGTAAAGTTTTCAACTGAACAGCGTATATTTAATACTTAAGAATATACTAAGAAGAAAGGAACTAAAGAATTTGAATATCTTTCCCTATAAATTTAGACCAGCACTAAAAATTGCAAATTTTCTTTTTACAATTTTTCAAAATTTCTAAGATTCTGTGATTCAATCTTTTTAAAATTTTAGATTTCGATAGAAATAATTTATTTACACATTTTTGTTTTTCTAAACTTTCAATTTTGAGAGAAAAAAGAATCGCGGATTTTTTTGGGCCATTGGAGTACCAAAAAAGTCACAAATTTTCAAAAAATATTGAAAAAGCACCAAAAGGAGAGTTGCACAAAAAAGTTACAATTTTGCGCCATGGTGCTGAAAATCACACTTGTTTTTGACTCACCCTGTATGTGTTTGGTTACAAAGAAGAATTCCAAACGTTTTGTATATATTATTAGTTTTTTGGAAACCGATGCTGTTCGGCTGTTTGAGAACAGACAAAAAGATAGCTTTATAGACAGATAGTTTGAATAATGATTTCGCCAGAATTGTGTTCAAATTTATTTAATAGATTTTAAAAGAAAAGGAAGGGCGTAGATACCAAAGCTGGTTGTTAAAGAATGGAGGGGGGGGGAAGACGTTGTTGATAGGAAGGGTAAGGGGAGGGAGNGGTGGAGGGAGGGGGGGATGAATAGATGAAAACCTTAGATAAAGATTAGTTGAAGGGGGATAGAAGATTATAATTTCTTGTTTTTCTTCCACAAGAATTCAGGAATTCAAATTTTGATGTTTTTTTTTGTGAAATCGTGTTCAGTTAGGATCTGTATAATTTTGTTGAAAATGTTTTGTTGAACAATTTGAAATATATAACGATATCTTAATTCATCAGAAAGCTGATCAATTAAATTTAGATATTTTCTAACCATTTTTCATTTTTTTTTAATTAAAAGGAAATCATATTTTTGAAAATATCATATCTATTCAGTGGCGTAGTGGGGGGTTTAGCTTGGGGGGGGGGGTGAACTTTTGGCGCGCGCAAGCGCCTCGTTTTTCTTTTTTTTCTGCACCCCCTAACGGTTGCTGTGCACCCCCCCTAAAAAACCCGCATTAAGAATAAATATTTATGTTTAAAACCTTTATTAACCTACCTGACTATTTGTCATCTCACCATAATAATCAATCATACAATCAATCAATCAATCAATCTAGTAGTTAAAAAAAAGAGCAAAAAACTTTTGAAAATATATTTTTTATTGTATTGAGTATTGAGATCATATCAATTATATTATGACTAGATTATGACTAGATTCCACTAGAAACAGTATTATTTAAATTTATGAATAGATTACACTAGAAACAGTATTATTGAAAGCTTTTTAACGATACCTAAATATGTACTTTGTGGCGCTTTGTGAGAGAAAAGATGGCCCAAAACATTGTTGATAAAAAAAAGAAAAATAAGATTAAGGTACAAGAAAGAATTTGAAAAAAATATCATAAAATGGAAAAATTGCTACATTGGCAATTGATAAGAAAAGAATATGTATGTAAGTTAATATATAAGGGCCACGGGCAGCCGTAGTACATTTGAATTTCCGAGCCAGGTCACCTTTCCGGTCCCAGTTTGTACTGTACCTAGCTCTATGGACAGGACAAGCCGGTGCAATAAGGTTGACTCGGTCGGACTTTATGCTTCAGATAGGTTGAATTTACTTTTACCAAAGGGGCAGATTACGTGGGGCCTGCCTCTGGCTATGGGGGGGGCATGTCTAAGGGGGACAAGGGGTGCATGTATCGGGGGTGCACAGGGGTCTCGTCCCCCACCCCACAACGCCACTGTATCCATTTTTGTTATTGTTTACCAACTTACCTGTACAATGTACAACATTATCTATCTATCTATCTATCTATCTATCTATCCATTTATCTATCTATTTATCTATCTATCCATATATCTATCTATCTTTCTATTAATCTAATTTGACCGATATAGTTCTATTAACCTTATTTAACCCGATGTATAGAACCTTTCTGCCTAACTGCTTAAATACCTTATTTGGGATTTGGATCACAATAGAATTCTAACTATATTATAGCAATCACTTGCCCTTCCCCTCAACCCCCCCCCCTCTGGCCTGCCGTTCCCTCCTGATAAACATGCATAGCCTGTATTCTTACAGAATCATAACATTTCTAATAATCTAAGTAACAATTTTTTGGAAAAGATATTACAGTTCTTAAAATTATCAATGTAGTAGATTAATAATCGGAGTTCGGAAAGTCAAAGATAACATGTATGTTTGAATCTGATAAATTGAATGTTTTTGAACCAAAAAAAATTGTCTAACCTTTTGTTTTTATTTTTAAACTCAGCTGGAGAAAATTTTTAAACTTTTCCAGAAAAAAAAATAAAAATAGGAAAAATCTAAAAGCCTGATTTAGAAATATTTTGCTGCTAATTTGGTAATAAATATTGATGATGACATCCCAAATTTATTTACAATTTTGAAAAACGATAATTAAGACTGAAATATTTTCAGTCAAATTATATCTGAATCTTTCAAATTAGATTTTTAATATAAACTGCCGTTTTAATGACTTACAAATTTGTCCAGACATGATTTAGAGATTTAGGTTGAAACTTTACGTAACGTGGAGGGGTAGGGATAGAGAGGGGGGGGAGGGGTCATGGTATCCAGATCTTTTGGGAAAATTTCACTAGCACTAAGCTTATTATATAATATAATTATATTTATGTATGAATAATACTATTTCAGATTGTTGGCTTGTATATGCACACACTGTATTGTCCTTCTACCATCTGCCTGGATTCAAGCATCTGCTCTACTGCCTAGTTTTGGCCTAGTTCCGCCCTATACTCAAGCATTGTGAATCGGAGGTGGATAAAATTTCTGCCTAGATGTGGGCATGAAATTGTGAAAATTAAATTGGTACAACGTATCTGAAAAATTCGCCCCCCCTACCGCCTACCGGGCAAACTTTGAACTAATTGTTTCTCCCCGTCACCAAGTTAAACCGCAATATCACCATGAACTCAATACACATTGTTGTTGTTGTCTTAGCAGCTGTCGTTACCAGTTGTCATGCGCAGTGCAATGATCAACAGCTGAACAAGGCCAAGTTGCGGTTTAAGGACTGCTTAGAGGACAAGAAGGCACACTTGCTGCAATTGGATTATGAGGAGGACAATGATATGCAACTACTTATATGCAGTGGACTCAAGGTCATCTATAATTACTAAGCTTCCAGGACGCTGCGCGTTCCTTTTCTTGCGCGCAATTTTAGCTCTTAACATGTTGCTCTTCCAGAGCCAATTTCTTTGTAAATTGTAGGTCGTGGATTTTTCTATTTAATTTTGCACATTTTAAAAAATAGTTTTTTTTCAGGGCAATTTTGTCCACTTTAAACCAAATTCATAACCATCCCTGAGGTCATGTTCATTGCCAAAAAAACGCTTTGACTTTTAAAGGATACAAACAAACAAAAAAGCAAAGTATGTATTTAGATAAAATATGTTCATCCTGTCTGTTTCTTTGGATCTCATGGGGTTAAAAAAGCTTTTTGGACCTCCAATTTCAATGACAGCTTAGAAAAGTTTTTAACACAGCTGTAATCGACAGATGAAAACACAGAAAGATCTGTAAATTTTTATTATTTCTAACTAAAAAAATTATTTTGTTTAATTATGTATTTTTATCATGAAGGATAAAGTTTTAAGTTCAGTGCCAAAAAGGCACTGAACTTAAAATATTCAAATATAAAATTACATAAGGGTAAATTCGTGGAAGAAGATGTAATAAACCTTGTTGATATTTTCAAAAAGTTTTTTCGTAACTCTTTTGAACATTATTTTTCAAATGTTTTTCTTTTCTTTTTTAAAATGATTTTTTTTGAGAAAGTGTCATAAGTATTACGACTATAATTAACAAGATAGTGTAAAAAACATTAGGTAGATATATTTTTAGCTAAATTTACAAGGTTTTGAAATTTTTATTGCCATCATCAAAGATTTTATTTTTAAACAATGTGGGGGGGGTGTTATTAAACGTCAAACATTTTTAAAGACATTTTTACGATCAGTAGTTCATGCTATCTTTACACATATCAAGGTTTAACAGCAGCAACAAAAATGCATACAGTGGGCCCATAAAACTGTGGGTTAAAGATTTTTAGTGACAGAGGAAAAAGTTTGACCAGTATCTTAGAAGTCAACTTATCGAGTGAATTAGGTCTGAGTACACTGCACAATTAGTTTTTTTGTTGTTAATTGCATAAGACTTTTTTAACCATAACGCATGTCTTACTTCAGTTTTTATATATCCACATTCTACATGGCATATTATTAATTTGGATCCCACACTATATAAAATCATTATTTTTTTTATGAATTCTTCAGTTTCCTCTGTTTCAGCAAAAATTCATATTTTAAGATATTTTTCATGTCTCCAAATATATATGAGCTTGAGGCACTTTTAAGAAGGTGCAAAGAAATATCAATAAACCTAAATAAATTGTTCTGATTTTATATTTCTACTTGTAGGAGCTGTCTACTGGTTGCCAGGAAGCAGTTAATGAGTTCTCTTTCTGTATGAGTAGAGAACATGTAGATCATCTCGTAGAGATTCATATCAATGCTATCTCAGGTAAATAAATCAATCAATCAGACGATCAATTAATCAATCGATATATTTTCCCTTATGCAGATCATCTCGTAGAGATTCATATCAATGCTATATCAGGTAAATAAATCAATCAATCAGACAATCAATTAATCAATCGATATATTTTCCCTTATGCAGATCATCTCGTAGAGATTCATATCAATGCTATATCAGGTAAATAAATCAATCAATCAGACAATCAATTAATCAATCGATCAAATTTCCCTTATGGGTAAAGCGCACATATATCATCTAGTTATAGAGCTTTATACCAATATCAGGTAAATCGATCAATAAATCAATCTATCTTTCTGTATGAGGAGAGAACATGTAGATAATCTAGCAGAGATTCAAATCAATACTATCTCACGTAAATAAATAAATCAATAAATCTTTCCTTATGATAAGGGAGCAAGTAGATCGTCTTTGAAGAGATTCATTTCATGATATCTAAATAAATCAATCAATCATTCTTTATGTATGGATAGAGAACATGTAGATCATTTGGTAGAGATTCATATCAATGCAATCTCAGATCAATGAATCATTCGATCAATCAATCATACTATCAATAATCAATTAATTAATCAATAAATTATTCAAACATTTTACGGGTAAGGAGCACGTATATCAACTAGTAGAGACACATATCAATGCAATTTCGAGTTAATCAATTAATCACAAAATCAATCAACCAATCAATTAATTAGTCAATTGACCAGAACCCCATCATATGACCTATGTTGTGAATAACTGATAGTTAATGATAAGATTATACGGTTGAGTTGTCAGTCAGGCAAATAAACAGATAAAGCTTAATTGCTAGTTCAGATTTTATAAACAGTGATCAAGGGCAAAGACAGGATATGTAAAAAAGTAGGAGTCCAGATAGGGGAAGTGAAATTTGAGGGAGGGGAACGGAAAGTAATGAATGTAAGGAAAAATTTCTCAACAAAAATAAATTTACTAGAAAAAGGCCTTAGAAAATAGGTATAGGGTTGAAATGAATGTTCATAGCCCAATTTTTCAATGCCAGCTCATTGAAAAAAATTAGATTGATATTTTTTAAGTTTGGGTGCTAGGAAGGGTTTAAAAAATGCCAAAAAATGGAAAAAAAAATTTACTATTTTTTACCTACCCTATTTATTGAAAAAAGATGTTTTTCAAAAAAATCCTTTAAAAATAAGAGTGCTAGGTCAAAAAAAAATAGAGGGTGGGGAGGGGGCGCCAACCCCCCCCCCCCTTGTTTAGGAAATGAATTGTTTAACAGTTTATGGAACTTTTTACAGTTTATATGAAACGTTCCATTAGATCATGAAACGTTTTAACAGTTTATGGAAGGTTTCAAAAGTTTTAGAATGTTTCAAAAAAAATGTTTCTACGTACAGTTTCAGGGCATTTACCTTTTGGTAGCAGTAGCACGTTCCAAAGTTTACAGGACATTTTAACATTGTCAGTACGTTAAAACAGTTTACAGAATGTTTCTAGGTATCAAAGCTATACATACGGAGCTAAAAATACATTTTTAATACAGAGACGAGTTTAACATTTTTGACTGTTTATCTATTTAGACAGAAAAACTTATCATTTATTCTAAATCTTTTTCTTACGAATAAAGATAATGAACAATTGAAAAAAACAAGAAAAAAAAAAAAAAAAATCAAAATCAAAATACAGATAAAATAAAGAAAACAAAGAAAATGAAAATTGGAAGAAAAAAATAAAAAGAGAAAACAAACAAAATGAAAATCAAAAGAAACAAACAAAAAGAGAAAACAAACAAAATTAAAATAAAAAACAACAAATAAAAAAGAGAAAACAAAGAAAATTAAAATCGGAAAAACAAATGAAAAAGAAAAAACAAAGAAAATAAAAATCGGAAAAACAAATAAAAAAGAGAAAACAAACAAAATGAAAATCGGAAAAAAGAAAAAACAATTAAATTAAACAATTAAAATTAAAATCGGAAAACAAATTAAAAAGTGAAAAAAAGTGAAATGAAATCTAAAAAAAAGAGAAAACAAACAAAATTAAAATCAAAAAAACAAACAAAAAGAGAAAACAAACAAAAAGTTTAGATAATCATTGTAGCTCATCCTTAAACCATTAAAAACAATTGTCAACATAATCCTTATCAAGCAATCATGTGCATTCAACCATTCAAATCATTCTTCCTACCCCTCCCCCTTCCTACCCCCCCCTCCTA